TCTTCCGTCTGGCCTAGAGCTACAGCAGCAATAACTTATCCGTTTTAAGCTCCTTGCAAAAGGTTCCTAACTGTCGTCTGTAACATTGCTTACAAATCGTTCAGCGCTTTGGTCCAGCTGAACATATTTTAAGGTATTAGGTAATGTTAGGCACTACAACGTGCGCACAGCCTAGGGCATCTCGTTACCTGTCGAGGTCATTCCCGCTGCCTGTGTCTCCGCAAACAGAAGCAGTCCGACTCTTTCTTTCAGAATGCATGGTACCGCTTATTCCTTACGCCAGCATAGTGATATTCCCTCACATGGCGATGAGACATTTGTCGTTCCTGGAGCGAACCGTGTTGCTAGTGGCAAATATCAGCAGAATCCAAGCTAAAGAAACTGCTTACGCGTTGCAAAACTCACCATCTCAGCAGCTTGTTCTCTAAGCTATAGTACGCTCAACGCAACTACCACCTGCTCGCAAATTTTCAGACCACTATATCCCCGTATCATGAATAACTCGCTCAAGATCCTACCAATCCTAACAAAACCCTACCAGCGATCAATTCTATCGTTTCGCAGCGTACCTTTAAGAGAGATGGCGCTTCAAGACCAACTACGTGCACAGAATATCCGCCACTAACACTGTCTGCCTACAAATATATATTAACTGTTTTGTAAATAAACAGTTACATTTTTTACAGATGCACTTAAGCTGCTAGGATCGCCGCTAGTAAAGATAATATATCTACTTGACTTGATATATTGCACTTACGCCATAAACAGTAATCTAGTTCATTACACAATATGACAGGACGTCACTTTCATTCTTAAAAATGACGTCGACATGTTTCGCCTTGCGTTAGCAGGATGAAAGACTCTAACGGAAGTCGGGAGATATCAAGAATTTCTTCTAGTGTTTGGATCCAGTCACTTCAAATGACGTGTTCCGATCTGCGGGAATCGAGAAAAATACAGGTTTGTCTATCGATGGTATCCGAAAGTTAACGGGCGGCATGAAACACTGGAGTAATAACAAGCGAACTTTTCTGATTCGACCTCATAAATGAGTATTGGTCGATACCTGAAAAAGTATGATGACTGTTGCTATACTTTATAAAACACTGTCAGCTTTATGTCAGCTAGTTGCGATTGCTGTGAGCATCCCACTGGCCTGTTTACATTAGCACAATGTCTTCGGCTTGTGACGTTCGCAGCATTTTACCTTGTCAACACTATTGTCGTAAGACACCAGCTACTGCACCTTAAAATGACTAATTCCTCACCGAACGGACTGAGTAACAATACTCAATTCTGTTCTAACATGCTGAGATTTTACTAACTGAACATAGAATATAAAAGTTACAAACCAAACAGATTCGTTTCTTTCAGTGGCTCGAATTACTGACAACCGTGAATAGTGCAGCCCGGGGCAATGCTGTACGCGACCCTTGCTCTCTCGAAGACAGTTCAGAAAACACTCGAATAAGAGTGCAAGAGGTAGGTAGGTTCATGCGTTGGTTATCACAGTGAAAATAGAGCAACGTACTAAAATACCCTGGCCTACTTAAATGCCCCCGCGCAGCCAGGAGCAAGC